GCAGGCTCCAGGCTCTGAGCTGTCAGCAGAGAGCCTGATGCAGGACTCGAACTCACGGACGGTGAGATCATGACCTGGGCGGAAGTCGGACACCCAACTGACTGAGACACCCAGGCACTCCTGTTGCTTTGTAACTTCTAAGACGTTCTGTAGGGCGTGAACAAATGAAACAAAGTACTTGCCTCCCTGGGTCGTCTGGATGCAGCACACGCTCCTCTGCGGATGCCCTGGGCTCCAAGTACGAGGGCGGGGAGCGGGGTTTCTCTGTAGAGCCCCTTAGGGGCCTCAGAGCAGAGCCCAGCTTCTTACTCAAAGCTTGAGGAGTGAGCCCCACACTCGGGGCCCTCCCATACCACCTCCACAATTTTTGTCCTAACCGAGGCTCTCTTCTCTTTTCCTTAAGATTTCCTTTGACTCACACCTACTTTTTAATTTTACTTACTTCAAACTTTAGTCCTGTGCTATGCAATATATCCCGCAGTCACATGGTGATGTGCTAGTTATGTTTTTTCCTGTTACACGTGAAAATAAACGCATACCTAGTAGAAGTCTGTCTGTGTTCCTACCAAGATCTCACCCAGGTAAACGCTGGCCTTTGGTCGTACCTGGAAAAATGTCTGTTGGGCATCTGCTCACTGGGGCATGATCGTTCAGGTGCCCCCAAACTGGGGCTCAGCTCAGCAGATGGAGAAAATCCTGCGCCTCCTCGCGCCCAGCAAGGCTGGCTGCAGGGGGCCCAGAGCGGAGCCTCTGCTGCGGGAGGTCCTCTGGAGCCACCAGACCATTCCGCAGAGTCAGCGCTCGCCCCGGGGATATGCTGTCTCCGCGAGAGCAGGACCGCCGTCCCTGTGAGCTGGCTCATCCTCTGTCCTCACTCTAACAACTGGGCTTGTGTCGGGAGCACAGCTCCAGAGAGAAGAGTGCGTGGTGGGAAGGAGCTCTGGCCTTGGGGGGTGCTCAGACCTGGCCTCTGCTACTGAGGGGTGTGGGCAAGCCAGCCGCCCTGAGCCTTGATTTCCCCATTTGT